CCTGGGGCCGCGCCTGGACGCGGGCGCCTGCGACCCGGAGGGGAGTCGAGCGCGCGCTGCGTTCGCACCTGGAGAGCCACCGAACTTTGCCGTTATCATCGGACAAAGACTGAAAGAAAGGCAGGAAGGAGAGAAGGAAAATCAGAACCAAGAACTGTACTTTCAGGTGTGCAGCTTCCGGGGCCCAGTGGAAGTTCCTCGCTGTGCTACATGTTGGCATTTCCTTGTTTAAATTTGGGCTTCCCTCCTTCTAGACACATCACACTAAATTCCTCGGGAATTCTGTAAATCCATAAATCGACTTAATTGAGAAAGTAAAGAGTAAAAACCTGATCCTAAAATAAAGGAGCAAAGAATGTTTAAAATACCCATCTTTAAGACAAAACAAAACAGGTAATACCAGTACCTAGCCCATACCAGTAAAATGGCCTAGGACCCTTCTGGGGGTGAGCCACCTTTCCCCGGGCTTTTATCCCCTCAAGAGAAGCGTAAATATTCCCAGTTCCAGGAAATAATTCGTCTCATTTCTCTGAATGCCTGCTCTTCACTCTTGATACTTTAAAAGTTCTGCCTAATCCCTTTATGCCTCTTACTGACTCACCCTGAAAATTCTTTTTTTGCAAAGAGTCAGGGAACCTGCAATCTTGTTCTACAGGTAGTGTGGGTTAGGTTTATTATCTCCACTTTAGAAACCTCCTCAGACCCTGTCTAGTGACGTGATGGCCAGTCCTCTGCCTGAGTTGGGTAGAGTTGGCTGCCTTAAGACTTTCCCTGGGCTCAGGCTCCTGGCTTGTGTTACAGGTGCACCCAGGCACATGACAGAGCAGCCACCTCCCAGAATTTGTTCCAGGGAACTGACCAGAGCAGCATGTGCTGGGAGTAATGGATGGGGGAATGCCTCCCAGGTCATCTCCAGCAGTTTCTTTTTTTCGTTACTGATGTCTAATTCTGAGCACAGAAGGAATTCCAAGATACTAGGGAAGTGAGTTGAGTGACTCAGAAAGAGAATGGGATGCCACAGCAAGTGCCGGATGAGAGGGGTATTCCAAGGATTAGATTCCCTCAGCCACCTTGTATGCGGCCTTGAACAAGCTTCCTGACTTCTCAGAGCCTTCCTTTCCTGAAGTTTACAGAATATGACAGTACCTCACAGATTGCTTGGAGAGTGTTTACAAAGTAGCGTATAAAATTCTCACAATAGTAGTATTGGGGAAGAAAATTAGGAAGCCCTTTGATGTTTCACCTTAGATGGTGATAATTCATTCCCTGCCTTCTGGAACTTAAAAAATACAAGCATACATTTAATGTTTGTTTTTTTTTTTTTTTTTTTTTTTTTTTTTTTTTTTTTTTGGTACCCGGGATTGAACTCCGGTACTTGCACTTGCAAAGCAGGCCACCGAACCGCTAGGTTAAATCCCCCGCCCAAGCATACACTTAAGTATGTTCTTAAGGTAGCGTTTGTAGAGTGCTATTCTAAACTAATACAATAGGGGGAGAATGTTGATGTGTTGTACGATATTCAAAAATTTCATTGCCTTGTCCCATTCTCCGTGGCCATCTGTGGTTAGAGGAACTTCATCTCCAGCTTGTTTTTCCTGAAATGATCTCATTATCTGAACCCTGACTGGATTAAATGAACTGGTACTTCAGGCATAAACTCCCCATCCCTCACATAGATCCAGCAGTTAGAATCTTGAAGACAGAGTCCATCATCTCAACTTTAAGGCGCCCCTTAAGTGGTGCAGCTGTACAACATTAAGAACCACAGGTTTAGTGTCTTGATTCCTAAGCAGGGTTTGGGGGAGGATAAACCTGCAATTTGCATCTCTCTGACCAGTATCTACTCCAACACGGTCTGCAACTTGAGCAGTTTGGTTTACCAACATACTCCTAGTTCCTAGAATAGTGCCTGGTATTTCATCAATGCTAAAGTATTTGTCAAATGATTTATTTCACAAAAGCATAAAATTTGGCATTCCATGTTAGACTGAATTCTCAGGTTCTGGTATTAATCCCTAGTGAGCCAAACCTCTTTGCAATGCTTTATTCTAGTCACACGAGGTCATTTGCCAAGAACTCCCCTGCCTACCTGGCATCAAGGACCCTCCGTCTTTCAGCATGACTCACACCCACCAGGAGCAGCCTAAGGGGTGAGCATGACCTGGTGGCTTGTGACTCCCCACTATGGCAATGTCTTCCTGTTTCAGAATTCCAGGAGTCTTAGCTGAGAAGGAGAAAGAACTTAGAATTTAACCCACTCCTGGTTTTATTTTTATTAGTTGATTTATTTTGCACTTATAGGAGCTAAACCCAAGGCCTTGCATATGCTAGACAGGCACTGTGGCAGTGCTACATCCGCAGCCACACTTAAGGTTTTAGATGTGGGAAACCTTAGAAGAAAGAGTATTGAAGGTAGAGGGCAAAATAGAGAGAGGAACAGACATACTGCACTTCAGGTAAATGAGAGGAATAATTTGAACCTTCAAAGCAGCCAATGCTTCCAATCCTCACCCTAAGTTTGGAATGCTCCTTCTGACCCTTGCTGACTACTCAGTTTCACCCAGTCTTGTTTCTATGTTCCATAGAGGAATCAACTTCAAGGCACAAGTCATATCTCTTCTACCCAACTTTTGAATCCTGGATACTGAAAATCGTTCCTTGCTTGGAATGTGAACTACACAAATGAATACGTGAATGAATGAAGATAGTGTGACATTAAATGATATGAGACATGACAAAGTCAGATTTGATGGTTGAAACAAAGGTAATTATAGATGAATTTCCTAAAAGAGCATATAATCTTATTTTAAAATAGATTTTTATTGAACAAATGTAAAGTTGGACCTTAGTGCTCATTTGTCTCTCAGTTATGATATGAATTTAGCAATATATTTTGATGTGAGAAATAAGCTGGAAAATACTTCACTTTGAGATATGCCATGTATGCCATGATAGTTTTATGTGTTTTTTTGTATAATCATCACAACAACTGAGTGAGTTAGGAATTACCAGGGATGACTCCAGTTTACCATTGAACAGAGGGAAGCTAGGAGAGTGGAGAAACTTACCAAAGAGCTTGGAAGTAACAAAGCCATGATGTAAACTCAGAGGCCCAACCTAAAACCCATGCTAAGAACACTGCACTGCCAGTGTATGTAGTGGGCAGCAGCATCTTTTGTGGCTTCTGAATCTGCCACGTGGTGTAGCACAGTAATCCGGTCACTTTCTGGTCTCTTCCTTTCAGCCTGAAGGAATACAGTGTTCCTCTCAGGAATGCAATCTCTTGTTCCCCCTTGGTGGGCTCTGAAGATACTTAATTACAGGAATGCAAAGAGGCTTAATTTGCAAAGATTTCTTCTGTGTTTGGAGATGTGGGGGCTGTGATACAGGTAATGTGCTAAATAAACGTCCTCATATTGTCTCATGAGCATTCCAGTGAACACTACAGACTTAGATGAGAAGTAAGCTGTAGCGAATAACTCAACAGATGAAGATCTTATTTTCATATAGCTAGTTCTAGAAAAAAAATGTGAATATGAAATGTGCATTTCAATTCCTGCCAAATTAATTTCTTCCCAAAGTTTTCCAGTGGTAATGAAAATCATAACTGCAGTCTAAAGTGATATTTTTTTCTCATTTTCCTGGAAATATGAGCATAGGAAATTGGTTGGCTGTGAAGCGAACATGAGGACATTTAAATTGATTATCTTTTAGTTCTTGAATACCATCAAGGGACATACAGTAATGATATTAGTATGTGTGCAGTAAGGTAACTGACTCTGTACTGGTGACATTGAGCATAGACCACTAAGGGAGGTTGAAGTCACTGATTCAGAGAGATGGTGTCAGTGAAGACCATCTTATGTTAGTGATCTCACAGAGGTCTTTTTTTGTTTGTACTAGGGATTGAACCTTGGACCTTGCACTTGCAAGGCA